CTGTTTTATTTCTTTTAATTCTGAACACCCATTTAGAAGATATTGGCTTTTTATCGGTTTTATCAACTATTGTCCATGTCTTATTAAGCTCATGAGCTCTTAACTCTTCTTCAAAAGCCAGCTTCCACTTGTCTGAATTTTGACCATTAATTGCACTATCATAGGTAAATGGTACAGGTAATTCTGTTACAAACGCTTCATAGTTTAAATTTCTTCTTGGTCTTAAGTTAATGTTTCGTGTAATATTATCATCATCTAGTTCTTGAGATGGTACATAAGTGTTATCATTATCACAGCTTTTTAATCTATCATCATTTGACAGGTCTTCACTTGTCAACGATTGTTTTTGGTTTGATGTTGACATAGATACTGGTGTCAATGGTTGTATCGATTGCAACTCTTGAATGTTTCGTACTGAATCAGAATCTCCTACTTCAATTACAGTATGTTTATTGGTTTTAGATTGAAGACTCTCATCAAATATCACATCTCGAGATATTTTTATTTTACGTGTATGTTGATTATACATCCTATAATTTTCATTGTCATAGCCAATCAAAATCATTTTATTACTTTTCTTATCCAACTTACTTCTGCAACCATCAGGCACATGAACAAAGCCATAAGAATCAAATACTCTAAGATGATTTAAATTTGGTTTTATTCCCATCCAAATTTCAAATGGTGATTTATTTGGAGTTTGACTGGAAGTAGTTCCATTAATTATGTACACTGCACAATTTACAGCCTCAGCCCACAAATTTAGGGGTAAATTCTTTCCATGAAGCATTGTTCGTGCACTTTCCATAATAGTGCGGAGTTCTCGTTCAGCACGTCCATTTTGCTGTGGGGTATAAGGAGCTGTGCATTCATGAATTATTCCATTACGAGACATGTACTCTTTAAAATCATTATTGACATACTCCTTGCCGTTATCAGAATGTAAAGCTCGTACATTGTGGCCAAACTTATTCATTATTAAGGCATTATACGAGTATGACTTAAAATGGTCTAATGCTTCACTTTTGTGTCTCATAATATAAACATGCAGAAAACTTGAGGCTGCATCTTTAAATAGAATAAAATATTTCATACCTTGTATTGAAGACTCACTTATTAGACCACAGACATCACTGTAGACCAAATCCCCTGGGTTTAATTGGCCTCGGTGTGATGCTTGAAATGGAAAACGGCTTTGCTTTCCATAAATACCATGCTTCACAGACAAATTGATCAATAGATTCATCGGCACATTGTAATATTCCACTTTTAATCATATTTTTTATCTCATTTATATTTAAGTGACCAAGTCTCTCATGCCACAGCTTTATAGTATCTTGTGATTTTTGCACTGTATTACAACTAGCACTTACTACAGTTTTAAAGTTCATTTCATATAAGTTGTTTGAACTTTGTGTTGCACTCAAAACAAAGTCTTTATTCTTGTAAATAAAAGCATTATTGTTCTTTTTACTATTTCATAACCTAGGCGCATAATGACACCTTCTGAGAATAGATTTCTTCTTAATTCAGGCACAAAAAGAACTTCTTTCAATATATATCCTCCCACTGTCCCTTTATACATTTCTTAATTATTACTGTTCCTATTCCACACACTTTAAGATCTTGTTGATTACCTAATTTTACACATCTATAGGTATCATCATTGAATTGTTGTAGGTCATTAAAAAATTCTTTCCTAAATGTCATATGAGCTGATGCTCCACTATCTAATAGCCAGATGTCATCACTTGAGCTGTTAACAATACTCACACTTTCTGCATGAAATGCTAACATGTTGCTATGGTTTTCAGTTGAATCAGTTTTCTTTTGTGTCTGACACTGTCGAGCAAAGTGTCCACGTTTGCCACAGTTGTAACAAATAAAGCGATGGCCTTGTGAGGTATTTTTGACTGATTTTTCCTGTGTTACAAGAGCAATCTCATTTTGCTCTTCTGATGATAAATTGTTTTCTTCATCAAGCAATCGAGCTGTGAGGTTGTGTATGGTTTGTTGTTTTGGATCTAATGACATCCATGCCTGGCGTAATGAGCGATACTTAGATGGTAATGTGCTGAGAATTTTAGTAATAATTGCTGTTTCACTAATACTTTCACCACTTTCATTCAATTGCTGTGCCAACCCTTCAACTTTTGAAATGTGTTGAGCCATTTAATCGGAAGGCCTCATTTTATATTGATAATATCGTTCATGAATCATCATTTTATTGAACTCTGTTTTTTGCTCGTTGATGGATTCTAATTTTTGCATAATTTTTGCGGCACTGTCACAATTTTCAATCAGTGCGATTTGCTTGTATTCCATTGCTGACGTGATTATGAACATGGCCACGCCATCATTTTTTAACCATTCTTCATCCGATTTCTCCGGTTTCGGTTTAAAGATATCAATGCCTTTTGCTTTTAACGCACATTTTATTTGAAATTTCCACTGACGGAATTTATTTCCGTCAAAACGTTCCATATTCATCTTACTAGTGAGATCCATGTGGTTATATGTAGGTACTTGTACCGAGTTTCTTTATACCGAATTTCACTGCACTTTACTATTGTTATACGTTTTCTGGGCCCATAACCTGTTGAGTGTTATGAAATATAGCAAATAACTAACTAAAAAAATATAGAAATTGGTAGTTCACAATTCACACACCACAAAACTATATGCGTTCAACACAGACGCCATGCCTCTACTCTCCATACGTTAATACCATAGACAAAATTGCTCGTAGTATTACAGTAAAATAAAGTTAACACTATGAAATTCATACTCTAATACAGACAAAAATTTTAAAAATTGTTTTTTGATATAATTACCGTATATAGGTTCATATGCATTTAGTAAAAAGCTGTTATTTTGACATTACAAACATACGTAAACAAACTGAAATTTTAATTATTGGTATAGATATCTGTCTTATTGTAAATACATACATATTATTTTATTGTTGAGACCTAACGTTCCCATCCTTTTGCATACCGTTATTAAATTATTTTGATAACATAGAAATAGAAGTATAGCGTAGGTACATACTATCCTGGCGGGCGAGTCCAACCTCAGTGGACATTGCGGAAAACCAACGCTACGCAACCGTACGACAACATTATGTTCAGTCAGTGCCCTTTTCAGCATCACGTCACTCGTGCAATCGGATTATTTTAAGTCTCTGTTCTCTTATTTAATTTCGTCTTTGTCTGCATGTTTATTATCAATTCGGTTTCGGCGTGTCTGCACTATATACTTCCCATTTGGTCGTAATTTAAACAACTCAAAAGTTTGCATACGTATCTTAATCTTTAAGGTGTTACTTGCCTTCAGAAAATAAGTAATCTATATCTCATTGCAATGCTCACTTCCAGTTTTTTAAAGTGTAGTTGAATAAAATAACGATACCCGTAATTTTAAATGGCGTAAGGGACATTTTGGCAAAAATTCGTTAATTTATACCCACGACTCAAATTTCATTAAAAAAAAATACAGTTCTTATTTGATAGTAACTAGTAAAAGTTGATATCCAAAAAATTTTAGCTTTCTGATGAAATTGTGAGAATTTTCGGGGCTTTGGATTAGAACACGAGTGAAAAGGGGCTTTGACTTAACCTGACAGTGACCTCTCTAACCTAACATTAAGGTTCAATGTGCCTTTCACCATTCGGTGATCGCTACCGATATTCATCGCCTGCTCGTCATAATGAATTCAATCTCATCCTCTTCATACCCATGAAATCCAGCGATTATCCCTCAATTATTTTCTCAAAAACAATATTATACGTATCAATCCGATATACACACTTTTAAAAAATGTGATCACAAAAAAACATCACGTGTAGATTATTTTCATAAAGTAAAACATAGTCAATTTCCTCTGTTAATATCCTAGTCTCCATAAAAACAATAAATAAACAAAATACTTTCAAATTATTTATTTGTAAAAATATAATAGTTTTCTTACAATATCGTACATTAAAAAATATTTTTCGATGGGATTTGGTAGCATTAGATTCTTAAGCTGCGTAAGGAAATATTTGCAAAGAAAATTATTTAGATTATGATTTAATGCATTGAACGAAATAGGTCTCATAAGCATTAGGTCAAACAGATATCTTATGCAATATTCATAATTTATAATTGAATTCATTGATTGTGCGATAAACAACTTACATAATTATTATACATTCAATTGCTACGATATTTAAAGTGATTTAAGTCATCCGACTTATGTGGGGGAAATAATTACAAATAATAATAAAAAAATAATAATAATTTATTCTTGATAATACTTAAATAGTATATGCTCTCAGCACAGAAACTTTTGTCATATATACATTTATTTGACAAAGTGATGTAATTACTTTAAATTTGAAATTTATAAAATACATAAATATGTTATTTAATATCTTTGGTCGGTCACAAAATAATAAATAGCGATGTACTTCGCTGTTATTATAAATTTTCGCCAAATTGGATTAATGTGGGAAGTTAGTAATAATTGTAAAGTGAATTTGTAACTCTGCTGATTGGTAGCAATTAATATTTTATATAGTTTGATAAATATCATTTCTTTCTACGGTGTATAAGAGAGGCTCTAGTCCAAGAGTAGATGAGAAACAATGAAAAATTAATAAATGTTAACAACTGACTAGCCAGGACTTACATCTAATCTCAATAAATATGTAAAACTATGCAGAATGTTCCGGTGGTTGACGTTTAACTTATCCTATAATTTTAAGTCTCTCATGCCATTTGCCAGAAGAAGAAAAATGGTTCATACACTTATTCATATTATTTGAACCAATAAACATATAGTCCGTGCGGTTAAAGAATGGGATTGAAAATGATATAACGATATACCGTTATTAGCTGATTTTCGTTATTCGTACTGGACATTTTGACGGTACGGGCTCGATGATGAGCCGTCATTTGTAATCCCATTATTTATCCGTACGGACTATATGTTTATTGGTAAACGGAATTTCTAGACGTTAGGAAGACGTTACTCTATCATCCAACGGCACATCCATAGTATGTTGGATGGCGTTGTCCTCGTCGTCGTTTGCAACTGCGAGATATTTTTCAACTCGATCCGACATACAGTCCAGCATGCCCTTCCTGAGCATCGCCTTGATCACACGTCGTCGGAATATCACTAGCACTAAGAAAATCAACGGCCCTTGTAAAATGTTCACGAAGTCCATTATTACCCTGAAACGTAGAGAATATTATGGATAAGCAATAATAAATAGCTAAAGTTGTCTATGCAATCACTAAACAGATGTTATATGCTGCTTGTATTAGTAAGATATACAATTAATTAAAGTAAAGCTTAAAGTGAAAACAAATCTAATTCTTGTAAAGAGAATAATCTAGTATCATCTTATAAATCAATCTTGAATCCGCTACCTCATGTGGGCCCGTTTATAACAAGACGTGTGTAACTTAGCTATGAGCCTGTTCAAATATACAGATCACATAAACTTGAGCCACTGATTTTTACGTGGTTCAAATATGTACATATATTACATAACCTTGAAACTCTGGTGTTTTTTTGCACGTGGTTGACTCATGCTACAGCTATACTATGGTTGTAGCTCGAATGGGTCAGTTCGACTAGGGATGGATCACGCCTCTCACAGAATACCAGCGTAAAAAAACAGCCTAATGCTGCTGTGTTTCGTATTGTCAGTATAGAGAACCGGAGACACTTTATACTGGATACCATGCATCTTAGTCCTCAGGGGTGACAACACATCTGCTTATTGATTCTTAGGCGAGGATAAATGTAGATGTATATAGGCTACCAGTATCAGTATCCACTTACCATCAGGTGAACTGTGTGCTCGTTTATCACCCATTCTCATAAATAAATATTTTTATTTTAACAGTTGCTTGAAGAGCTTGAATTTATAACAATATTATGAGTTATTGACACAGGTAATTGAGCTGATTATTGGTTGTCACTAATAAAAAATTGTGGCCTAATAATCTACGATACCGCAACACCGCGACGTGACCGTGTACACAAAATAAAGAGAACAGGCGCTACCGTAAAAACTGTTTGAATCGTACTGACCACGGACCGAGTCAAAGTGTGTAAAAGCTGACTCGCTACACCGACTTACCGAGAGTCGCTGCATGCGCTGTACGTTCAATTGAGCTGATCTGTGAGCCGGTTCGCAGATTTGGTTCAGTTACTTGAACCGTGAGCTGAATTAAGCTCACGTCTATTTATTGAGTTATTTGTGGTTATGTAGCAGTAGGTTTTCAGATATGAAAAGTGTCAAAGATACTGAATGATGAGGATTTTAAGTGACAATTTATTTTTTGTAAACAGGATGTGTTTTTAAAATACATAATTTAATTTATACCGTTTTATTTAAACCATTTCCATTGGACCATTTATTTGAAATAACGTTTAGTAATACGAGTATATTGTATTTCTGACATGTTTTATTTACTTTACGCGTTACATTTGCTATTCACAGCAGGTGTACCCTGTGCAAAGTTTGATAAAACTGCGATAAGCGCAATAAGTGCGCAATAGCAACGTTTTCGCATTATATCTACAGCTTGTGTCTTTTGTCAATGTCTTTTCTTTGTCTTTGTTTGTCTTTTGTGTGTGTTATGTCCTTTATACTTATATTATGTACATTGTGTTTTTTTAATTGATTGAAATTATTATTAAAAAATAACAATGTCAATTATAGTATGTGTCATTAATAATTATATTATTAACTAGCTAATACCCGGGACTTCTTCCGCGTTGCTTGACTAATAATAATAATATTAACAAAGAAAACACACATCAATGAACACGTAGTGCTTATAAAAATAGTTCTTTCTTAAAACTTTAATAACTTTTTTTTTAAATGAAGGGCCAAGTATCTAAAAAATAAAACTTAGAAAATCTAATGAGGGCTAATAATTTTCTGCTCACCAGATGTCGCTAGTTGCTACTGAAATAAAGTTTTTGGTTACACAATGTCATTTAATTGAGAAGTTAGTTTTTAACAAAAGTTTCTCAGTTTCTAGAGTATTATATTAATACACAAAACAATGCCTCAGTGGTTTGCTCTTTAATTTTTGCACTTTTTTACTTTTTATTTAATATTTCTACTTTTATGAATGTCTGTGGTCCGCTTTATTTATTTATAATCTTATTAATACAAATATATCTAATAGTACAAAAAGAAACATTAAACTTTACATTTTCCGAACAAATTAACTTCCCCACTATGAAATTTGTCAAATATTATACCTCACTTTCAAGTGGCGCCACCCTGGTGGCAGAAAAAGTCGTGGCCCTCATTGAAATCTATCCAGTAGTTTTTCCGTGATGCGCGCACTACTGCAAACCTCGTATCATTTTATTTATATAGATTGAATGATATTTATTGAAAGCTTTACTTTTTACACGCCCACGGTATCAGATAGGGTGACGAGCCGATTACATTTTCATTATATAATTTCTTACATAAATATGAATATATTTGAATAATATTTTATTATTTTTAATTTATTTTATCGCCTTTTTAGATTAACCAATAACTAATACTCCTAGAAAGGAAAAAGCATCAAAAGTTTATCTAATAAGATAATATTATAATGATTATGAATGTACAAGAATAAAAACCTGAACCTGCACGATGATTATAAATTATTACATTCTAAAACACATTATGTAACATAATCAACATTTTTATCGTTTTTAGACATAACATTTTAGTTTCTCAGAATACAGAAAGAACTTGGTTCTAGTCAATGATATTATATGCAAGAACTTCTTCTCTAGAACCTTCGTTCTAGTTGATTTAACTGCTTTTTAAGCTTTGCCTTTCACTTCGGACTTTTTATAATGTACAAAATATAACTAACTTGACTACAGCGCCACTTATTGGGTCAAGGCTTTGTGACTTTCTTTTTTGCAACTTATTCATACATTTTGAAAATATGAGTCATTTATAAGAAATAGGTTAAACGATCACTGACAGATATGTCTTTAGTCGTTGCTGCGTTTTTTATTGTGTTTCTGATTGACTTGATCGATTGTTCACAAAATACATTTATGTTGAGTGGATGATTCATAGCTAAAAGCATTGCTGACAGGTGGCGCTTTAGTTAAGTTAATACAAATTCTTTATTTATGAACCAGGGTGACTCATATTCACATTATACGTTATTTAAGTGCCAAAAGATAATTTGGACCGGATAGGTGGCGCTGTTAACTTTTGTACACAATACAATACTCTTTATTATGCACCAAGGTAAGATTAATATAACAAAAATAAACATGTATTGAAGAAAAACAAAAGGATGAACTAAAATAACAAAAGATACACCAACCTATTCACTAAAACTAATTCATACCTTTGGCGCTAGATTAGTAACCTTAAACAAAAAGAGGAAGAGAGAGGGTTCAGAGAGACAAATAATGTTCCATAGTATGTTTCTTAAACTAATGTAAGGATTGAGCACGTTTAATTGACAGGGGTAAGAAGTTTCAAAATATTACTCCATGAACAGAAAAATATTTATCAATGTAGAGCAGTGCACGGGATATTATTAGAGGGAAAGATTTTCCTTAGATCGTAAGGAAAAATTATGACAGGAGCTGAACAATTTAAAACCTTAGGTTAGGCTAATGATAGGGAGGTTAAAAGTAAGAAGCAGTAGAGAGCGGAAAGAATATGAGTAAATTTTATATTTACACTGTAAAAAGTTCGGAGTGAAAGCTATAGCGCCAACCACCTGGAAGGGTATAGAACAACGTCCGCTATGCCATGTCCAGTTCGTAAAAATTAACAATTTAATACACATTTAAATTTTTAATACTAAGCCATATTTGAATAAAACGTACACTTACCATATTATGCTTGCATTCATTACAGAACTTATCATTTCGAATATCCATGGAAGTCCCATGATGATAAACAGTCTGATGGTCATAACGAATCTGAAAAACATAATGAGAACATTTTATTTTTTCACTACTAATAAATGTACAAGGAAATATCCGCAGCGCTGCGGAACCCTCTGAAAAATGAGAGGAGACCGGTGCCCAGCAGTGGGACGTATATAGGCTGCAATTTTAACTTTTTTTACTTTTAATAAATGTAATATATTGATATTATTAGAATCAAATAATACCTACTAATACTCTTATAGAGCATGCCTAAACTCAGATCGTGGATGTATTTCATTAAGATCCTAGGTATATTAGAACTGACTATAGGTCTAAAATATACTATCCCCTATTTACTTTTTATTTTCAAATCCTACGCGTATTTTATTTGCGAAGTTCGTTAACCTTTTTAAATGCTAATTAGGTTATTGAACTTTGCGCGTCTGCGGACGTCGAAAATAAAGGAAGAGGCTGTTCGGTACAGTAAGATGATTTTATTCTTTTTACCTTCAGATGTATAGTAAGCATCCCTGTGAAAGACAAGATAACTCAAACGTAGCTTTTATATTTACAATGTGTAATTTATTATGTTAGAAACTATTTATAAGTAAAATGGAAATAACTATTTTTCCAGTAGGATTTAATTTTTTTGATAAATATTTAAAATAAAAAAAAACTTGATTTATGGCGGTGTAAGACCCCACTACCCCACTACCCCAGATCATTAAGTGGGTGTCGTAAGAGGCGACAGAAAGAAACTAGATGGACAGCGGGGTATTCCTAATAATAATAAAAAAAATGTTCGTGTAATTGTGTACACACGTACGAAGTGAAACGACATATCATTGTTATTTTATTGTATATTTTACATAAGTAAGTATACTAAGTACTCCTGCAGCACCGGCGGTGAAACGTTACAAGAAGACGTGACTTTTTGATTTTAATACCGTAACTAAATTCGTCGTTGACGCCGCAAAGGGGCGATCCTCAATTTTTCATAAAATTACAGGACAGCAAGAAAACATTTATTATTCCCCGATTACTAGCTTTTCTTCATCAAAAAATTAATCTTATTTTTAGTTTTCCATTTACTCTAATATATTTAATTTTCTGATGAAAAAAAGCTTTTTTTTAAAAATTGAGGTAACGAATTTCTGCACTACGTCGATAAAGGAATTTCATTTAATAAAAATATTTTTATGGATTTTATTGTGTTTTCCACCACCCGAAACACCGAGACTTAAAAATTAAGTAAAATAAACGCGATAAAACCCGTAAAAGTATTTTTATTCATTGTGTAGTGTTCGCGGAAATATAAGAAATCATTAAGAAATTTCATTTCAAAAATAAAAAAAACTGCGGTTGCTAACCCGCCTGCCTAGCGTGGCAACCTGGCAACTATGACAAACATCGTCCCTATGAGGCAATCTATGGGGGAGGCCTGTGTTCAGCAGTGGACTTTCATAGGCTGTAACGGTAACAGTAAATACACATAGTCTTAGTATTAAGTAAAAATTTAGTTATGTGCTGTGAGATATCAATCCTTTCTATTATACACAATAGGTTTGAAAATAGTTTAATGACGCATAATTTAATTTGATTAAAAGTATTTTAACATACGTAGGTATATATCGTTACAGCTTGTAACTATTTTTACGAGACACTTTATTTATGTGTCTTTGTAAGTTATAAATAAACCCTGACGGTTTTATAGCCTAGTACCCAAGCACAGATGAACGAAGTTGATTAATCACGCATCGTAACAATAATATTGACATGTTGTATCTCTTTGAATTGAGAGTGTCGTGTAAGACGTGAATAAACCAGATAATTACGAAAAATATGAATCGAAAGAATACACGCAATTTAATTTTAAAAAAAATATAGGATAGGGTGACAAGCGAGCACACAGTCCACCTTATGGTAAGTGGTTACTGTGGCCCATAGACAATCTACATCTATCCGCGTTTGCGAATTAAAATGCAGATGCGTTGTCACTTGTGAGAACTAAAATGGAATGCCTCTTTGCCAGTAAAATGGTCTCCGGTTCTCTACACTCACCATACGAAACACAGCAGTGTTAAAGCTAATTTTACGCTGGTGTTCTGTGAGAGCGTGGTCCTCCCCGGTCGAGCCGACCCATTCGTGCTACAACTATACTACTAATATAGCTGCAGCATGGCTCTACCACGTGTAAATTTCCCGCCGCATAGTATTGATAACTTTAGGCCACTGCTCCACTTTAACTATTGATACACGTTTAAACTATTGATGTACTCATACTCGTACGTTACCCCCATATTAGGATTTTCTCCTATGCCGTGCAGACAGCTTACAAGCACAAATTGCACAAGGACAATCATCCAGACCCGGAGTAGTTATTTGTAGGCCATACAAATACTTGCTCCGTGCGGAATTCGAACCCGCAACCCCCAGCGCTGCAACTCATTGCTAAGCCACTGCGCCAAGAAGCCGACCATGATTTCGTGTTGTTAACAATATCTGTCAAATTCCATACTTTACATTTTAATACGCATATTTTCCGCGGGATTTCTTTATTAAAGCAGACTCTAGTTTTAACATATGACTAATTATTTATAAACAACTTTTATAATAAGTTGTTTTTTAAATTTGTTGCAAAGATACACTACACTTTGCGGGCGTATTGATGATAGCAGTGGTGCAGTGGTAATCAGACGATTTGCACTATAGATTTCAAAAAATTTTGATACGTTTTAGATGGTTATTTAGTCATCTCTTGACTTTCTCTGTGTTGACTTTTACAACTATCGCGAGAGATGAGTTGATTCGTAATATTGACTTCTCTATTCCATCAGTAATTTTTGTTAACAAAATTCGTTAATATACTTTTATCAGTCACGAGAATTTTGTTTCGTTTTTAATAATAATGATAATTTATTAGATTCAGTTTGACAAATTACACTTAGGTATTATATCTATTTTAAATTACAAAATAACATTTCATTACAGCTGTCAGCGTCTTCCACCCTGAGTAGTACAAAAATCATTTCATTTCGCTATACAATACACAAACATGTTAAAATAAATATGGAAAATAAAGAGAAAATTTAATCAAACTGACTATTGAATGGTATATTTATTGTGTAAAAAACTGATGTATACTTACTTATATTTTAACGCCTTGATGTGACTTGACGTGAAACTATGACGCCATAGGAGTATTGACGTGTAAACGAATATGCAAATATTGGCAGTTATGAGTATTGTCATAATACTATACATGTAGTACCATTGCTGTCTTTTTTCTGCAAATAGTAGATTTAAACGTTTATAATGCAAGTCTTATGAAACACTTAATATAGATTTATTACATTCGACGACAATTAGTTGAGGTCAACTATATGAAGAGTATTATGTTATGGGTTACTTTTTTATTGATTCTGGGTTTCAGTTCAGAATCGCTTGCCTATTTGAGAGGTTCTTATTTCAATTTCGATGTGACGGTGATAGGACTAAGTTCTTTTACCTTCACATCGGGACTATAAGGACTGAGACCAAACTAAAAGGACTAAGTCCTTTCACCGTAAAGGCGATGGTAAGTTTTGAGATTTTTCTACAACAACCTAAAAACTTTATACTAAAGCTGCTCAGTAACTTCTTATATTCTGTAATGAACAGTGCGCATTAAAATTTGTGACATTTTCCGTCTCGTTTTTTGTATTGTTATAAAAATCTACCGCTGAAAGTGCCTAAATCTTATAGCCTATTTTTCTGTTGCTTTATTGTTTTCTTATCGTCTCAAAAGAAGTGATACTAACGCTGCTCAATAATTGGATTTCTTCTAGAATTTCAGACCTTCGTTGAATATGGATTCATGACCTGTTTATTGCCATAAAGTTAAAAGTTCCATGAAAATTCGTGAATTGCTTACAGATGTTATTCCACTTTATTATAGACGCTTGAAATATAAAAAAAATATTGAATTTATGGTTATAAGAAGATTCTCTTAGAACTCAGCCTGTTAGCAGTGGAATAAATAAAATGTGTTATATATCTTTACAACTACATACCAAAAAACCAGCAATGGTTCAACCCTATCCCAGGCTTTTGATGATCTCCAGGGTAGAAGTTAACAACAGCCATGGCCACAGTGATCAAAGCACTAGTTCCCCACGCGTACAAAACATACCATGCAAACTCTTTCCAGCCGTAGTCAACCATAAAAGGCCTTCTGAAACGGCAAAACAAAAATATTTAGTAGCCACAATTTTTGCGAAGAATAAAGATAATTTAGACTAAATATATTAACCTCATACTTCGGAGTATCTGAATCGATATTGCATTAGTCCAGAAGAAACTTGCAATCAAAAAGAAATAAGTCAGGAACCCTGAAAAGTAATTGATTTATAAGGTATAAAATAAAATTTTACTGGTCACATTACTTTTATTGATGAAGCTACCTCGAACAGCACAGAGATTCATATCCGAATACGAAGACACGAGGTTCATGATTGCCAGACAGGCCAGGCCCAACGCGAGTGAGACGCAAAAGTTGATAACGCTTTTACCATGTAGATCCCTGGAAGAAATGAATTATGATTAAATATGTTAATTTGGTATTACTTAATGTTATACTTATAAACCGATGATTATGAAAATTAAGAAACTTTATTTTAGCGATTCGCAACGTATTAATAATAGTCCTAATGTTGTCGTAGTTTGCTTAGAATAAATATGTATAATGTGTGTACCTATATAAAGAAAAAAACCATGTCTGGCTATTGTTGGATGCCTATATTTGGTAAATTCCTAATAGAGTGAACTTTAACAAGATTGGCTCAGTTCTATTTTACATTGTCTGTATTCATTTAGCATTAAGATTTCTTTAAATAATAAACAAACTTTAGTCCTATATTATTTAAGTGGTATCGTATTATATTTTTATATATGGCCTGAAAATGTAAACGTAACACACTTTTTAAAAATCTTATTATTTCTGTTTGTTTGTAGCCCTATTTGCAACCAGCTACTTTAAAAAAATGATTTATAAGACAATACTCGGCGGAGATCTATAATGAGTATATCAGTTATAAGAATAAAGTTTACTTGCTAATCAGCAAGCAATGTACTCAATTATTTTCCAACTATTGAATTCAGATCTAAGTATTGTTCTCGCCTTGAACGAACTTAAGATAGTCAGAGTAAAATTTTTAATTAGCCATCTTTAATAAATAATATTATGAATTTTCCTCAATATTATAATCAATTGTAACTTAATCAGATATTAATTCATTATGCAATCAAACATGAAATGATATTAGGTTGATTTTGAGACGATATCATCACTTATACTTAATTAGTAACAATAATAAATTGGTATTTATTATCTTTCATATACTACATCACAATAAACTAAGTAACAATGAACTATACGTATATATTTAATTAATATGTAAACTCTTATCAGCCAGATCAATAGGCAAAGACTACATACTTCCATTTGGCACAATCCTTTCTGCTACACCACTCTCGCTTATTTTACGTCCATATTTCTACGCATCGTCTACCTGTTCGTCGTCTTAACTTTGCCAATCTTTAATATATCGCCAATTTGTTCGATAAAATCTAAACTGACACAGCGACTCACTTCTGCAGCGTAAATTTGATTTTTCACTCTTCGTTCATTCTTTCTAGGGATGCATCCCACTCATCAAAATTTCCTTTTAAGATATGCTAACTGAAAAAGTTTGATATCGTACGAACACACAGACTGGTATCCATTTAAAACAGTAGAATTGGACTTCATGGATCGCAAAACATGGTGATATATTAAAATTTGGATTCGAAATAGCAGACCCTTTACAACAGCGTCCAAATGGATCGTCAATTGAATTGTTTATTTTTCTTACCTGACTTCAGGAAGCATTAGGTAGATGAGTGCAGTAAGTGTGAGGAAAACAACTGATACTATCATGCAGTAGGCCATGATGGCGTTGTCCACTATTGGTTCACTTTCGTCAACGCAAATAACTGCTGCGCGGGTTGCGTTGGCCGATGAATTTACATCCATTCTTAATGTTCTGTTTCCAACGCAAAAACTGCAAAGAAATTATTATTATCATTAGTTTGTTTACGAAACTTCTCAAAATATCGTGTCTATGCCGGATAAAATAATAAACTTGGACATTTTTGTAAGAAAGTATAAGAACCGCGAAAATTACGCAACACTGCTCCAGTGGGAGTTAGCAAACTTTGCAAGTTCCGAAAATGATTTTTTATTATCTAAACATTTCTTAAAATAAAAAGAAAATGTAAGAATATTTACCTGGGAATAAAACTTGGAATTATCACATAATTCAAGAAGAGTGCGCAACTTCATAAACCATTTATACGTTGTTATAGATATACGACTAGTTTGAAGGGACGGGACGGTAAGGGAGTAGTAGTAGTAGTATCTGGGTAGGTAACACCATCTTATTTCTGTGGCCAAATAGCAGTGCGTACAATGCTGCGTTTCCGTCTAAAGAGTATAGGGAGCCAGCATAATCACAGACTGTAAGTCATTCCACCTTAGTCCTTAGCTATCTCTTAACAACGCATCCGTAAATGAAGAAGCATTTGAAGTTAGTTGCTGCTGTCCATGGGCTGCAGTAGCCACTTAAGATCGTGTTTTTTTTTTATAAGATAAGGTTGACAAACGAGCACACAGTCCACTTGATGGTAAGTGGTTGCTGTGGCCCATAGACATCTACATTTATCCTCGATTACGAATCAAAATGCAGATGCGTTGTCACCCGTGAGGACCAAGATTGAATGCCTCGTTTTCAGTAAAAAGAGTCTCCGGTTCTCTACACTCACCATACGAAACACAACAGCGTTAAGCTGCTATTTTACGCTGGTATTCTGTGAGAGCGTGGTCCTGCCCCGGTCGAACCGACCCATTCGTGCTACAACTATACCAGTAATATAGCTGCAGCATGGCTCTACCACGTAATAGACTTCTTTTTCAATCGACTTTCGTCTTGTCTTACCAAGTAATCACTCAATCTAGTGTGGGCCGCCATACACTACGTTTACCTGTACGAGGCTGCTACTAGAGAACATTACTTCGGTAGTCGGTTCTCCGAACTATATGGACGGCCAATTGCAAATTCAGCTCACTGATCCGTTGGCTATCTGTCTATGTCGGCCACCCTGGTTCTACTGTGGATATCTTCATTATTAATTGTGTCATGCAAACAAAATCCGAGCCTAGCCCTCTCCATAGTTCGCTGAGCGACCTTGAGCTGCCTGACACGATCAGTAGTGAAGGATCAAGTCTCAGATCCTTATGTCATCACTAGCAAAACACTGGTTGTGCACTCTCGGCTTTAGGTGTGAAGAATACTTGACGACAAGATGTGTCGTAATCTTTCGAACGCTGCCCAGATGAGTTGGATCCGTCGATTGACCTCTGGGTCTAAGGGACTTAAACCTAGTCGGAAATTATGTTCTAGGTAAACATATTTGTGAACTACTTCAAGCGTAGTGTTCCCAATAACTACCCGGCTAACATATGTGTGGCATATACATTGGACATTGTCATTGTCTTGTCCATGTTAATTTAAAGATGTGTCCCTTGGGAGACTATTCAGGTCATTGAGCATTGTGCTAAGGTTCTCAAACGATTCTGTCATTATGACTATATCGTTGGCAAATCGAAGGTGATTGATATACTCGCCATTGATCTTGATACCATGTCCTTTCCAGCCCAGTAGCTACCAATTTTAATATTAACTCGTGTTAATGCTTACTTGAGCCTCTTAATAATATTTTTATAAATCTTCATGGACATAATAGTTCATAATTCGATATTTATAATTCATTATTTGTGCTAAGTAAACATGCATTTTAACGACACCGAGCTTAGTGTTCCCAACAACTAGATCCTCAAGCGATTCTAGCATGAGTTTATCATGGGCAAATTGATGTTGATTTTATCAGTAATCACTAAGATCATCAATATAGATATATAAGTAATATTAATGTTAACAGTTTTCGTTTGCTTATAACAAATCTGTTACATATTTGAAAAAAACTTAGCACGTCATTAAGGATATATAACAACTAATAACCAGTTGCACAATATTTACCGTTACCAGATATTAAGGTACAACACAATGGAAAGGGAGTATCGCGAGAAAACCATGCATTTATGTCCATGTCGTGAGTTCTGTGCCCATTAGAACAAAAGCTTGCTGGGCACATTGCATTGCTTAATTGAAAAATAAAAGTCAAATCTCGCATATTAAAGTACCAAAGCAAATGAAGTTTTTAAAATAAAACTAGATTTGCTTTGTGAAACAACTTTTTTATTGTACTTTTTAACCTAAATTTGCATTTTTTTAATGTGCAATTAAAAGCTGTTGCCACAGGAATATAATATTATCAAAAATTTTAATAATGACACTATATTCCTGTGGCAAACAATATAGTATAGTCAACATAGCCTTTGGATATTCCTTTAATTTAAAAGTGCCTTTTAAATTTACATAAAGCAAAATCCTTACGTTTCTGGCTCCATTTCAGCTTGATTGTTAGGCATTGCAAGAACTAGGTAGCCCGCATCATTCACAGTGAAACGGTAGATTTCTTCTGTCAACATAACGTATTTTTTGCATGCAATTTTAATAGAATTGTTCGTGTTCGATATAGGGTCCCAACAAACTTTACTGCTATTTTCTCCTTTTAAAATATACTGTCCTGAAGAACAGCAAAGAGCATCTTGAGACATTGCACACGCCGCACTCAAAATTATCACCAATAAAATTACACATTGTGTTAAAGTTTTCATTTTTGAATTTTCTACACGAGATATTATTAAGTTATTTAAACGCTCGTAGCCTTTAGTAAAACGCTAGTAAACCGTCCGTAAGTAACGTGTTTATGCGCGTACGCGCCATCGCTTCTACTAAAACTAAAATACATAAAACTTTTCCCAACACCCAACACTAGTGGTGCGTAAGCTTAAGTGTTGTCAGCGAATTAAAATATTTCCGCAAACAAGTTTTTCAGAGGAATAGATGTGTTGAGCATTAAAATAGGTTGTTCTGGGCATTAAATTTAATTACAAACATGTATTTTTATACTATAAACACAGTTCAATCGTAGTTCCATATAATACACACATTTCACCTTCCTTTTCTTTAAAATAATTTAAGGCTTCTAGCGAATATGTAAAGTACCAAATGATTAGTGGCTAATGTTCCACAAAAACCTACAGTCTCACCCTTGAGGATTACAACGAACTTTGGCTAGCCATTCTAATTTTTAGTACGCCAGAATGAAATCCTTAATTGGAATTAACCGACACAAGAGTAAATCACATATCTAAAAAAATAAAAATACTTTTTTATAGAATAAGGTTCACAAACTAGCACACAGTCCACCTGATGGTGAGTGAATGCTGTGGCCCATAGACATCTACTTCTATTAAGAGATTCTCTGACGACTAGACCTAGAGTAGAGAACCAGAGACCATTTTAAACCGTAACACAGCAGCATTGAACTGCTATTTTACGTTGGTATTCTGTAAGAGCGTAGTCTTTCTCCGGTCGAGCCGACCCATTTGTGCTACACCCATAATATAGCTACATAGTGGTTCTACCACGTAAATATTAGAGAACTTCGCAACATCGCATTATAGTAGTACGTTTAAATTTTCCTAGCTATTTTTGACCCTTTGAAAAATGTAAAGATGTTCAGAAAAACTAGTACGCTTAATAATATAGACTGCTACTTTCACTTTTTTGCCATTAATAGGATTTCTGGTATTCGTCATTTAACTTATTAAATAGAACATCATTTTATCTTTACCCAGTGAAAATTCGACCCAAATTAATAACTAAAACATGTATTTAGGCTCATCATAACTAACAAATACTATTATTTATAGGACCAAATATATTTCGTATAAAATTCCTTACAATATAATATTTCCTAAATTTAGGAAAAATTTGCACGTTGGCAACACTGACCCTGAAGTCTCAACCTCGCTTCGCTTAATAAAAAAGTCATTGATGGTTTATCGAGATTCAAGACAACATTGTTCTATGAATGATCAATTCATTATTAGATCCTTTATCAAAATAATGTCTATATTTTTTTTTTCGATCATTTTGGTACCATTTAACGAACAAATTTTTTTGAAAATTTCTAGACGGAAGGAATTTAATAATCATTTAAGATTAAATATTCATTTAATATTCTGTTTTCTACATTTCCTGAAAGCATTTGCATTACCCGCGCTTGGCAAGTGGGTTGGCAACCGAATTTTGTTATATTTGTTTAGAAAGATGCTGCTGTCCATCTGTTCATATCCTAGTTCAATTTCCTTCCGTCGCCTCTTACGACTAAGGGTAGTCAATATTCTTACACCGCCACTACATGTTTAATATTAATGGAAAATATTTGACCTATGGGGGAGGCCTATTATCAGCTGTGGACTTTTAATGGGCTGTAACCTGTTACTTGTAATGGTAAATGCCATACCAAAAATAAATTAAATAATTAAAAAAACTTTATTAGCAGGAATAAATAATTTTTACCACTTCTGCTTGTGACAGTTATGTAATTATAAAGATAATGTTCTGCTGATAAAATTCTGCTTTAGTAGCATAAAAAGTTACGAAGTCTTTATTGGTCTCCGCCTAGATACTTAATAAAATAAACTAAGCAATTATTTCATTTTTTTTTTCATAATATATTTATTGTTAGAAGCTAAAGGTACGTAACCTGGTTTAACTATGAATTTATGACGTCACGGGGGACTGTCATAATATGGTAGGTGTTGGTTGCAAAGTTGCTTTAAAAATTTACTTGCTCATTATTTTGATTACTAAAATTAATAATTTTTTAAAAATATTTTAAGATTCTAAGCGATTTCTAAGCGGTCTCAATCGTCGCGGACGCTACGCAATTTTAGACCTTATGGTGACGTTTTTGAAGTTTTTATAGAAATTATGTTTCACTCGGGTCAGACATTCATGATATTGGCGGATTAAAGTCGACTTGTGGGGAAATCTAAAAATCGAGCCGAAATATCGTGGTCGTATATTATACACCAGCGGCTTGGTGACGAAATATGGATCTTGCTCTCGCTATCAAGACGGTATCGATCATAAATGATTTTGTGCAACCTCTAGTAAATTGCTGGCATGAAATTTTTCAAAAAAAATATTACCTGCAGGGCTAAACAAATCGCCACTGTATTAAGTAAGAGGCCGTTTTACACTGTGTTTGCCGGTAGAAGGTTTCTAATTCTTTCTTCTCCATGTGTTATTGTTTTACAAGTCATAAGGTCTATTTTCACTTCGGCTTTTACTGATCTGCTATGTCAATTACGCAGAGAAATTTTGAGCATAACCTTTCCTAATAGGGCAGCAGTGTAAGTTCGCGTCTCGGCTTCAAAAGTAGCATATAAAATAATAATGCTAACTAAATGTCGAATGCTTCTTATTGTACAGGGGATATTATAGTGTCACACGTTTAACTTGATGGTACAACTCCTTTCCAGCCTAGGATACCATCTGGGTAGATACCACCCTGTTACCCACCTATTCCTGACCAGTATGCAGCAGTACACGCTGTGTACAGCTGAAATCCAATACCGAATACCGATGTGATTTTAACATTTGACTTAAACGGTTATTTCACTTTACTGCCATAATATTATGTCTCTGGTTTAAATATTTTCTTAGTAATAACTAGCACTGATAATAGAACAAAATATGGAAATATTTCTTTGTTTACAGCTGTTGCAAATGCTGAAGTTCTACGCACGTTTTGAGATAAGCGACGAAACCGGAGATCCGATGACGGATCGCGACATGACGCTGCAGCATTACTCACGAATAACATCGTTACAGGTGCGTTTTTACATTGCCTAAGCTTTCATTAACGGAAGATATGAAAACAACTAAAATTTACGAAAGATAAAAGATATTAATTTTAGTTAATTGATACAAGTTTTCGAGCCCAAATTGTTTTGCATTTTCAATCTTTACTTTAAATATTAAAACCTATTCGAACTTAGCTTTGAAAAACCAGAAAACATTCCCATCTCTATCAAATTTCTATGTTTTTAACTTTTCTTTAAATCATTCAAAGGGTATTCTTAATCAAACTGAAAAAAAAATGTTCAATATATAACAAACAGCTCCGTGGCGTAGTGGCTTAACATTAAATTATTACGCTGAGTACCGCAGGTTCGAATCCCGCACGGAGCAAGTATTTTGTATATCCTACAAATAATTGTTCTGGGTCTGTTTGTCCTTGTGCAATTTATGTAAGTATGTAGACTGCTTCCACGATAAACCTATTTTGAGGGATTTGGGATATTTTTTTACTAAAGAATATACAAAAACAATAAAACGAGGAAATGTTGGGCTTGTATCAGTCATTTCTGAAAGAGGGCATCGATGTATGAATTGACTATACTTAATATGTTGTTTCTTTCAAGTGGCATATGGTTACATTTGATGCGAGCTGAAAAAAAGTTATGAATTCGATCGTGATTTTACTGATGAATCTCTAGATTTGTTCCCTTTACTAAAATAATTCTTGTTACAAAATTTCAATAATCTTACGAAAAAATCTAGCAAACTCTGTTTTTTCCTGTTTCTTTATGGTTTTTTTTTAACTAAAATGCGAAACAAAAACTGAAAAATATTACTTTTGCGTTTGATGTAGAAGCTGCCAAATTTTGAATAATACACCTTGTACACATGTGCCGCCTAATTTCATTTTTGGCCTCTACTAAGAACTGTTGTACGTCACAACGTACACTAAGGATAGTCGCTTTTTCTCATTAAAAACGAAACTCATTGCAGAGCTCCGTGCACAATCTAAGACCTATTACTATTTTTTACCCACTAAGCTTAGTATTCTGTTATAACTAATACATAAATTAAAAGTCCATAACTTTGACGATGATAAAAATCTTTGTTCACAGAAAGCAGCATTCTCTAAATTCCCTGATCTCCGCCTATTCGCGTTGGCTAATGTTGCAAGTGTTGATACAAGAGAATCCTTACAAAAACATTTCGGAAATCTGAGGTAGGTGATATAACTTTTCACGTTTACATATATTTTGTTTTACATAATTAATTTGTATTTATTGTTTTCTCGTTTAGTGACAAAGCGTTGCGTGCCATTGCGACTTATTTGAATCTAGTGCCACCTGAAGGCAAGGAACAAGAAGCGCCCTGGCATCGTTTGGATAAGGATTTTCTCAGAGAATTATTGGTAATGATTTATGTGTTTTACTTGTATTGTATACGATTCTTACTTTTTAACACGGTTTTATTAGCTTAGTATGTATCAATGTACCTAATTGTATCTATGTCACATAAAAAAATCAAATCCAAAAAGTGTTGGGTGATGTTTGTAAAATTAGCGTCATCATAAAAATATCTGAAAAAGCACCCAACGCTTTTTTACAATAAAATGATTTTTTTATGTTAATCACTATTTTCTTATTTTAACCTTATTAAAAATTATATTCTACTTTATAGTTCGGTTATACGTGTTTTTTTTAGTTTATTGAAACTATTATTTAGTATTCATATTATGCACTTGGCATAATAAACTTTCAAATTAATTAATCTAAATATGCACTTATATTGTATTTACAACTATTAAATACTTTCTCCTGCCTATAAAAACCGCTGCAATTTTGCCGCACATGCCGTGCATTTTATATACTTATTGTCTATTTATAATTAATCTATAATTTTCTTACCTTATTTTATTTTTTATTTTTATGTGGACACTTTTATAATTTATCTTTCCCAT